ATTATTCAATACATTATCTTGTTATACCTATACGAAGCTAGTTTCTCTCTACCTGAACTCAACCTACGCCCCCAGGTCACGCTCCTGTTATGACGTCCCAGGACGAAACGTATAGGGGTTGTGACAATATCAAATAGATCTTTGCTACGCCATCTTTATATCGAACGTGGAGCATGTACTACCTACAAATATCAAGCACGTTTGGTCCTACGTTAACTCCCTAAGAAAGGATTCGGGCATTCTATTTACGCTACAAGATAATGGGCAAGTTTTCGCCGACAACCAGGCCATTTCCGACGCTTTTGCTACCCACTTTTAACAACATAATATCGAATCAAAGCTAAGTTAGACACCTCCAAAGGTCCTCCCCCCTCTTCAAAAATGCCACCGCTCCATGTCAAAACCTCTGTGCAAATTATTTCAAAGATCCTCCAATCAGGGACAATTAGGGTTACTTTCCAGACTATTTTTTCAATTTTCTTCAAATCCGGTGACAGAAAAGATGTTAGCAGCTATCAGAGAAATTTCTCTATCCTAAGCTATCCCCAAGCTACTGGAGGCAATCAAAATCATTTCAGAAAATATCTCTAAAACGCATAAGCATCATAAAGGACGAGCAGTATGGCTTTTATCAGGGTCGATCTACAGCCAACAAGCTTAGCCGTTTATCAGAACTTACTAGTCCATCCACTGGAAGCTGGTCATAGAGTCGACGTCATTTTTATTGTATTGTACTGTCACAGATTACTTAAATACAGATGCGAAAGAGCGGCGAATTCGTGGTTCAAGATTAATTTGATAGACATAGGCTGGCCGCACCAATGCCACATCAATGTATTTTGAAAATATTTATTATATAAATGCGGAAGCTCAATAATATAATATAATTTCTTTAATTGGTTCACAAACAGCAAAAAAAATATTTTTTTCTACCCGCAAAAATATGTAAACACACAGGCTGGAACATGCTCACGCACTCGGCCACGTTAATTGTCCTGACGCGGGCGATCTTTATCTATGCGTGGGGCCGCTGGCGGCCCGGCTTCGTCCTAGAATATCGTCGACAGCAAGTATACGTACTTACGCATCTGTATTAGGTGATCTGTGGTACTGTGCTTCTAGTCTTGTATTGTACTGTGGGTGAGGCAGTATCTCGAGAAATTAAAGTCCTCTTCGGTGTTCTTCAGGGCTCATAGATCCAATACTATTCCTCCAGCTGCTTCCACAAAGCTCAGTTTTTTCTGTACGCCGATTGGCTCATTTTTTTTTTCGTAAACGGGTCCACATGTCAACCTTCAAGCAGATTTAGACCAGCGTTACATGGTGCAGGAACAATTTTTTGGAATTGAACATCAAGAAATGTAGGTCAACACGATTTTTTAAGAACTGGACTGTCCAGTTGTCCTGCTAATAGTCTGCCCAGCGAGTCTGTGTCTACGGGGAAACGGTAAATCAACAACCAGATAATTGAACATGTTGGCGTTTAGGACGATTTAGGAGTAATCTTTGACAGTAATCTAACTTTTGACTTCTGAGAACCCCATTGAGAATATTGTGAGCAGAGGGTTTAGGATGCTTGGCTCTGTGAATCGTAATAGAAGGCATCTACAAGATACCCAAGCCCTTCACACTCTGTCTGGTACGTAGCATCCTTGATTATTGCAGCGTGATCTGGTCCCTTTTTTATAACTGTTACAAACACCAGTTTGAAAAAGCTCAGACAAAATTTGCTAAATACCTCTTGTACGTACAAACATCACTTTTCCTATGATAACGTCGACCACAGCATAAGCCTCCTATGTGGTCTGAAATCACTAAGGCAACAACAAAGATTATGATGGCGTGATCACCTCCTACTCTTTCTTTATAAGTTGATGGTCCAGGGGATAAAAACTTGTAGTCTTCTGCTCTCCGAAATCCGTGTTCGTGTACCAATTCTACAAACCAGGCAAGCCCAGCTCTTTTCTGTTACCACTTACCGATCAAATTAGGGTATTTGCTGACCGCATGATGAGCAACTACAATAACCACTACGCAGAAATTGACTTCTTCTCGTCTAGTCTCTACACGCTGAAGCCTGAAGCGTTTAGACGGTAAATTTTGTTTTTATTTAACTGTTCTCTATGTTTCATGTTTCTTGGCATTGTTCTTGTTAATTTTTCTGTTTTTATATCGTCTGTAATATAATGCATAGTGTGTCAATGAGTTTAGTGGCATTGTGAGGCCCCAAATTCAGAAACTTGGCAAGATGTTAAATTGGCGAGCAGTGACTTTAGTTTCTGTGTGGAGACAGGGCGTCGCTAAGTGATTTGTTAAGTGGGTATCATCATATAGGCTCGTGCATGATTTATTGATCCTTTTAGAAAATTTTCGGCTTCTTTGGAATGTTTAAAGCACTTAAAAAAAAGTCCATGAACTTTTGCTTTATTCACATTCCAATGTATTAGTCAATATAGGGTATCGGCGTTCAATAATTTCTGGATATCGATGTTCAGATAAATTTTAATTGAAGTTTCTGGTTGTGCTGTCTAAGTGATGATCTCTCCTGGGATGGTTGTTTAGCAAGTCCTTGTTATTCTTGATTAAAATTTCTGTAGTCACTACAGCATGCAGGCGTGAAATTGACGAAAAATTTTCTTGCATCGATTAGGATTTGAACCCTCGCATATCCAGTGCAGTGCTCTACCAACTGAACTACCGAGACCTGTTTCATTTCTACCTTGTCGGTCAAATCTTTCATCAATTTTAAGATGTTAGATGTGGAGACCAACGGCAATTTTCGGCGGTTACCGTTGGCATGGGTCAATGGGTGTTACCCTACCAACTTCTAATTCACTTCAAAATGATTTGTAGCAGATAGGATCAATCAATACAAATGAGTCTGACACGTTAACATCCCTCAAATTTCTCTAGGCCTCAGATATTCCAAAAATCACTCTTAGTAGGTACTGATTACTGCGCAGATCTTCCGCTACAGAAAAAATATTATTTTTATTTTTACCCCTAAAGATCATTCACAATGCTTCAGCTATTTGTTTGTTTTTGGATCTGATTTTCTTTACTATTGTAATACCTGAATTCAATAAAGAAATCATTAAGCATTATTTAAAAGACTCCTAATCAACCGTAAGCAGGCGCATGTTTTTTAATGATATCTTGATACCTTTCATAACCATGTCTTTTGTTGAGTTTAACTTTTTTAAGCATTCGAAGAAACGCAGAATTAAACACATCAATTAGTGCGCGTTCATATTGACACCGCTCGAGCGGTGAGCATTGCGCGATGACGCTGTAGTGATGCCCAAAAATAATTTTAACATTATATTTCAAATGAACATGGTCACACTAGAGCGGCGCGTCCCGCGGTGTTAACATGTTCACTTGAAATATAATGTTAAAATTATTTTTGGGCATCACTACAGCGGCATCGCGCAACGCTCACCGCTCGAGCGGTGTCAATGTGAACGCGCACTTAGACTTTCATAGAACTCTTCAAGGGGTTTATCAAAAAGCGAAACATTTGCCCACACGATATCATTGCGTTCTTTGGTGAATTTATTAAAATAACTTTGGTTGTAAATTCTCTCTTTCTTTCTTAAGTTTTTTTGACAGACACACATTGGTTACTCCAAACTATTGTCTAAGTTATATGTAGTGCAAAAATCACGTCAGAGGTTGATGCCGGATGCTAGACATTTTTTGACTTTCCAGAACGCCCTGTCGTGTTTTGTCATCAAGTCTTTCTTTCCCCTGATCCCGCGAGTCGAATCAGCGTTTTGAGATGTAGGTAAAAGGGTAGGTAGTGTAGCACTATCGCCTACCATCTAGATTAGGCTTTAAGGATCGAACGCTAAGGTCCGTTATCTCTCTGATTGCCAACTCATTGAAAATATTGTCAACTGGTCTATAAATAAAAGTTATCCTATCAAAAACCACTCAATTAAAACTAGAACACGGTTTATCAACAATCAGCAGTTTAAGCAGGTCAATGCGTAAACTAATGTTTACACGAAACCGATGCAACCCATGGTATCGGCACCCATTTGTATCCTCTCCTCAGGGTCTCTCTACTCAAAGGAGCAGTAGCTACATTTCTCTTTAGGGTCGCCTTACCCCGGAGAGTCTTGGAGCAATCCTCTTCGGGGTCGCCTTACCCCACAGAGTCTTGCCCCGTATATGTACGTAGAGCCCCGAACGTGAGAGTCATGTGGCGCACCTACGTAGTATCGCTTTAGTAATGTACCCACTAGGAAGCAATATACGATAAGTGCCTTTTGTAGTTGTGTGTTTTCCTGAAGAGCCACCCGCAACCTCAGGTCCTACCCACATTAGCCGCGAGGCATGTGACAATATTCCAGATGAAACCATCGCGTTCTTCACCATAACATCTAACATCATAGTATAGCAACTTGATATACAGCACTTCCACATATTCCTTTTATTTTGCCATCTGATAAAGGTATAAGTTTTATCATTTACCATTATGTACAGCGGAGGTGAAATATAGTTCTAAACAATTTATCGAGTAGTATTTTTTTAGGACCAACGGGTGTTCAGTTCCTATGGTATAAAACATAGGTAGCGACGGCTAAAATACGAATTTTCCTGGAATTGATTGGGAATCCAATTTAGTGGTAGGGGCATCCTGCCATTGTAGCGAAAGCCCTTCAAATAAATTCTTGTCGTCTATTCGGAGCGCCTTCGCTACACTGGCAGGATACTTTTACCGGTTGTGATCGGTGCTTGGACTGAAAGGCATTAAGTTTTAAATAGTCCTATGCTAACGAGCTAACGATTGGTACTGTAAGGTGTTTTCAGTGTAAGGTCTGGTACTTTATAGTTCTATGAGGCCATATAAAGAAACACTTTCTATGCAGGTGTATACAGCATTTCCTGATACCTACATATAAATATTTGCCTCCATATGACTCGCGCCGCTGCCTCTTGCATATTCACATTAAAAAAAGGTCTTACAGACTGGTGGCGATGAATCAAACAAATTCGAGAACAAACTAATAAGTTATTTATTTAAAAAAGCATGACATAAATGAAAATAAAAGAAAAAAAAATTGATCAATCAGATTTATTTTTTTCTTCAACTGAAGTTAAGTCTGGAAGTTTTGATTCAACTGAACTACTATCACTATGGTGAATAATCGAGGTTTCCATTTCAACGTCATCTATGGCAGTTTCCATTTTAACGTCATCTATGGCAATTGTTTTGTCTTCTGTAGTTTTCTCTTCTAAAGAAGCGGCAGTCAAAATCTGTTTTTCTCCCCTATATTGAGCATTCATATTCTTCATAGCTTTTCGTCTAATTCTGGCCCGAGTAGTTGTGTCGTCATTTTCCGATTCACAAGCTCCAGTAAACTTACTAACTATTCTTTCATTTTCTTCGCGTAAATTTTGAAAAAATGTAGACTCAAATGCTACCATGTCTGTTTGATTTTTCTTAACAAATTCCTGTAATTTCTTATCATAATCTACACAAGTCTGATTTAGATCCTTGATAGTTTGGTCCTCGAATAAATCTTTAATTTTTGTTAATAATTTTTCTCCTGTTCTTGTGGTGAATAAATCATATTGGTCAATGGAATAGTTATATTTGATTATACCCAATAATCGTGGACAAGCCACAAACTTGAAAGCATATTCTGATAACATTTTAGCATAAATATAGAGTATGTCGTAATGTCCTTTAGGTTTAACTCTTTCCATAAGTGATTTAATAGATTTAAATTCTTCTAAAGTTAGACGGATTTTGAACAAATGTCTGAAATATATGGAAAACCATTAATAATCTACAAGTTGCAAGTTCTATTGATATATTTTATCCAGTGATTATCCTTGTTTAAAAACAACTATGTTTTCAGCTCTCACCAAACTCTCTTAAAATAATATTTTCAGTTGGGTCCAGGAATAACATAGATAAGCACTGGTAAAAAAAAAAAACATTATAATGTTATCACTTTGACTTACTCAACAGGCTGTTTGTAGTAGAGTCCATAAAGTAAATAAAAAGCTCCAACTTGGATGGGTAAATCTGAATGAGATTTGATGTATTTTTTTATTATAAAGAAGCAAGTCTCACAGAGTATCTCAAGTGATTTCAGTTGTCTTTGGTCTCTAAAATATAATTTATGAACTGATATTTTATTGTGAATTGTGCTAAAGTCAACTACCTACTCCTAATGGGCAGTTGCCTACTATTTAAAATATTTTGTGCATAAATGGACACTCGAGTGGACAGTACTTGACAGTACCTATCTGCTTTGGAAGTGAAACTTTTTATTAAATCACATACCGAATATTTTTTTATTGTGCTACTATTTTTATATAAAAATATGGGTACCTTCCTTAGCAGCGAAAACTGTGTGCAGCACACATTTATCTGGAATGCTACTCGGAGTAAATATGTTCTGCAGATTTAGGTGGGTTTCTGAGTAATTTCAATACTGAGGACAGGTGAGACTATGTTTATGAACAAAAATCATCTACAGCAATGAAAGCAACTTTGACCAACTTATGTTGTTGAACCCCCCTTTTCAAGGATTTTATTTAAGGTTGCCTTAATTGTATTTTCATACCTACCTACCCATGTTTGTTTTTTCAATAAGGATATGAGCAAACACTTATTTGGGGTACCTCTCGGGGTACCCAGACTTTATTTTTTCCCTAGATAGATTTTGACATTGAAAACTTTGAAACATAAACAATAACGCTTGACCCTGATTGGTGGCAAAATGAGGTGTTTCTGCAGGTTGACATCAGTTTTACAATAGCGACCAATAAGCGGCATTAGCGGCATTGTTTATGTTTCAAAGTTGACAATGCCAAAATCTATCTTGGAAAAAAATAAACTGTAGGACTCTTGTATAACTGTGGCGGTTCAGTTATACAGGAGTCCCACCCCTGTGGCACAATAAGTTTGAAGTGATTTCGATTTTGCAGAGTCGGTATTTCTTTTCCTAAGTGTACCCACTAATAAATAAAATTGTGGAGTCCATTAACATGTTAAGTAACAGAATTTCAGAATAAACTAATGAATGGAATTGATGAAAACTTACGCAAATATCAGTGTAAAACTTTTCAATTGCCATACACTAGCGAAATCAACATAAGCTAAAGAGTTCTTATTGCGAAATTTCAATAGAAAGTCTTCAACGTCTGATTTTATTCCTGCATACACCGATGCCCTGTAATTGTTCATACAACTTTTATGCATTATTCAATCTACAGAAGTTAACGTTTTTAGTTGATTTAAAAATTATTTTTTAAATCGAATGTTTGTTTATATTTCCTCGAAGAAAAGTGAGGTTAAGTGTTCTGGAGTTGGTTCGTTCCGGTTGTTTGTTCTAGGTGTTCGCTGATTGAAACGGTGTTTGATGCTTAGTTCTGAACGACTCCGAGTGACTTTCACTTTTCAAGAGGGCCGTTCCGTGAACGAATAGCGCTGATGGAGCTTGTAATTTTTAAAAAGAACGCGGCTCTTTATGACCGGGATCGGTAGAGTGAATTGAGGGCAACTTTCTCTCAATACACACTACTATTTACAGCATAGCCTATCCTCATAAGGCCTATGTGGAACAAATTTGAAGCCTTCCACCACGCCAAATCAACAGTTGTGACGTAGGCAGCACGGCAGCATGTCCTTTCTCGAGACGTAGGATGTTTGCAAGGATAATACACTTTACTACTACAGGATAGCCTATCCTCATAAGGCCTGTGTGGAACAAATCTGAAGCCCCCACCACGCTAAATCACCAGTTCTAACGTAGCAGCATGTCCTTTCACGCCTTGACGTAGGCTGTTTGCACTACAAATTATGATTCTGCAGGCTTCTGCTTTCTGCATACTTGGTTTTACTACATTAATTAACATTCTAAAGCAACTCTTTTTTAGATCTCGTTTTCATCTTCCTCTTTGCCTATTATGTTAATCAAAATTAAATAATATTTTTCATCATAAATTAAAATTCTAAACTACGACCTCTAGTGCAAACATTTGACGACTTGTTAATGACGTTGAAAATGGAGACACACCAATATGGCGGCGATTACTAAAAACGAGGTCGAGAAGCATTCTAGTAGTGTGTATTATCCTTGAGTTATTTCCGGGTTAAGCATTAAGCTGGAGTTTCATGCATCCGTTTTTCCGACGAAAGATGTCCGAATAACATTCTATTCTGACATAATCGTATAAAAATATGTCAAAATAAAAGATTTTTCGGACATATTTCGTCGGAAAACGGATGCATGAAACTCCGGCCTAAAGCCTAGTACTCATAACCGCGAAGAGCGGATTTTTATTTTGCGGATTTTTTTCTATTGGTCGACTTTATTTAAATTTGACAGGTTTAAATATGTTCGGCCAACAGAAAAAAATCGCAAAAAAAAATCCGCAATTTGCGGTTATGAGTACTCGGGCGAGTTCAGGAACGACACACCTAGTGTGAGTGTGACACCGGTGCGACGCCCTAACTGTTCAAAAATGCTAGACGGTGCTATGGGCCCAATGGCCAATTGTCAATTCAGGCACACCCATAAAATCGCACTCGCACCCTGTGCGTTATTTCTGAACTCGGCCCTAGGCTTTATGCTTAAAGCCTAGTACTCATAACTGCGAAATTCGCATTTTTTTGACATTGCTTCGACAATTTGACGTTTGATACACGCATAAAACGTCAAATTGTCAACGCAATGTCAAAAAAATGCGAATTTCGCAGTTATGAGTACTAGGCTTAACCCGGGAATACCTCAAGGATAATACACACTACTAGATTGCTTCTCGGTCAGGTTTTTGGTAATCGCCGCCATATTGGAGGTGACTCGCTATTGAGAAATCGGCCCTTAACGGATTTGACTCTTCTTTTCGTTTTTCATTTATAATCAGTAATTTGATAAGAGGTTTGTTTGTTCGTGTCGCACTAACTTGAACTGAGCGCAAGATATTTCAGGTTTGTGGCGTCACCAGTTCAATTCATAACTGCTTTATTCTGACGCAAACGAACAGAGTTTTTCGCCATGATCTTTAATTTCTGAGGGATTATTATTAAAGTCTGTTTTTTTTAAAGATAATTCCCCAAGTCAAAAATTTAGTAACTATGTTGGCAACACAAGCCTTTTCTACTAAAAAATTTGAAAGCATTGACAATTTTACATTGTATTGCCAACATAATGTCAGTTTGACTTTTATCTTTAAAAAAAAAAAACAGATTTTATTTATATTCCGAATATTCACTATTTTGTGAATTTCTGAATTTGATTTGTGGTAGTAGATTTCGCTAATTATGTTTTTTTTTTTAAATATTAATGACGATGTCGAAATCGAATTTGTTTTATCCAGTGATGAGGACAGTGGAGAGGACTGTGACGTTGCAGGCTGCCAGCCTTTTTTATACAAAGGAATATGTAATGGAGGGATTGGAGAGAACAGCGAACCGTCAAATGTGGCATTTTTGACATTTAATTCTAGTAGGCTGCCTCATCTTACTCCTCCTCGAAAGCAAGTGCAGGTTGAACGTGAACTAAACAGTTTGGTACAAACTGCACTTCACAAACGAACGCTCGTCAGTTCATTGCCAGAACACAAACGAACGCCACAAAGCAGGAAGTGCAGCTCTGAACATCACAAAAAACAAACCCAAGGAAAAACTCAATGATAATACACACTACTACTACAGCAGGGTAGCCTATTGTCATAAGGCCTGAGTAGTTCAAATCTCAAGCCCCCCACCATGCGAAAGCACTAGTGATGACGTAGGCAGCGTGTCGTTTCTCGACGACATAGGGCCGGTTTACCACTGGACGGTTATCTAGTTTAGCTGTCGGTTAACTAATGATAATTATTAGTTAACTGACAGCTAAACTAAATAACCGTCCACTGATAAACTGGCCCTTATAGTTAATGATATTATCGCTAAGGTGCTACACCATATGACCGCGATTACCAAAAACGAGGCCGATAAGCAATGCTGGTAGTAGTGTGTATTATGCTTGATCAAAACTAGCGATGAAACTAGCCACATTTGTATCTTGTTTAAACCATAAGCCAAAAGACGATCGGCTCAATATTAAAAAAAGAGCTAGGTAGAATAACCTCAAGGATGATACACACTACTGCTACAGGATTGCCTATCCTCATAAGGCCTGTGTAGTTCAAATTTCAAGCCCCTCACCATGCCAAAGTACCAGTGATGACGTAACAGCGTGTCGTTTCTCGCCTGACGTAGGGTGCTTGCACCACAGGTTGGATATAGTACATTACAGTTGTTTATACATTCGTGATACGGTGTCGCCGTTGGTATTTTTTCTTCCTTTACGATGTTTGATTTTTAAAGTCGTAACTCTGTGATTTATCAAACTTAACGCTTCTGGGTTTTTAAAATTTATCAGAATGGTCGGTTCTAACTAGGAACTTTGAACTGTATAAATCTTATTGCTGCCAGAAGCTCCTACCGGGTGACATAATAATTCTCTGCGGATTTAAAAATATCCAATTACTATTGCTTCGCCACCTTGAACTTGGGAGAGAAACATGGATTTAATATGAGGTTGGCAAATGCCAAGGATAATACACACTACTAAAGATTGCTTATCGGCCTCGTTTTTGGTAATCGCCGCCATATTGGTGTGTCACCATTTCCGACGTCATAACTAAGTCGTCAGCTGTTTGCACTAGCGGTCGTAGTTTAGAATTTAGATTTATGATGATAAATATTGTTCAATTATGATTAACATAATAGGCAAAGAGGAAGATGAAAACGAGATCTAAAAAATATTTGTTTAGAATGTTAATTAAATGTAGTAAAACTGTAAAGCCAAGCATGCATAAAGCAACAATCCGCGGAATCATAACCTGTGGTGCAAACAGCCTACGTCAAGGCGAGAAATGCCATGCTGCCTACGTCACAATTGGTGATTTGGTGTGGTGGGGGCTTCAGATTTGTTCCACACAAAGGATAGGCTATCCTGTAGTAGTAGTACCTAGTAGTATGTATCCTTGGGCAAATGCGAGGAGAAACTTTCCTCAAATTCGACAGGTATTCGTCGACATTTTTGTTCTCGAATTATTACTTGGATTATTAACTTATCCGTGTTCTAATTGCCACCTAACTGATTCTCGAAACACTGTCGTCTAGTTTATCACTGATGGTCACTTCCGGTCTAACCGGAAGTGACTGCCCATGCAGCAAGGTTTGGTCGATATAACGTTGAATGTACGATACTTCCCAACGTTGCATTACGTTGTAACAACAGTTGAATGTACGTTGACAGGACGGCACAATGTCATAATTGAGACAACGTTGCATGTGACCGTTGAATTAACGTCGTTTTTTTTGTTGGCCTCAATCTTATAACAACGTTGATCAGATGTATTCGAGACGTCAGATTTCATGTTGAACTCAACCGTTATCACAACCTTGACCAGATGTAATTAAGACGTCAGATTTTACGTTGAGCCTGAGGTTGAGCTCAACCTTTATTTACAACTTGAAATAGAAAAAATAGTACAAAAAACATGCTTCATAAGACATTTTATATCAAATTGCGTCTTATGAAACTTGTTCTATAGCTGGCTTTGTCAGAACAGTTTTCAATTAAAATAAAATCACCAAAATGTTTGAGGTTATAGGTACTTTATTCCACAAATTTTTTAAATAAACACAAACCACAAACTCTTTGACACAAAATTTAATATATCGAAACAGTAAGAGCAAACAAATTTGATCAAAATAAAACATTATTTGGAGGATTGTTAAAATTCAACTGGCATGCTCTTAAATAGGAATAGGGTCCTTGCAGATATTTTTTTTATTGTATGAAAATGATTAATTAGACTCAAATAGTATCCCTCCAAAATATTTTCAAAATACGTGGAATATTAAGGTCGTAATAAATAATTAAAATTCAAACTGGCTAATTTCCCGCTAAAAACGTAGCCTTGATATTTCAGCTGTCAGTGACGTCACGAGGTATTATTTTGTTTTAACGTTCTCATGATTCTTATGAACCTTACATTTTTTGACGAAGTTTTAAATTATTTTTGAGTTGCAATGGTTTATCGGTATTGTATTGTGCCAGGATGTAGAAGTACAACAATTTCCACTCCTGGAAAAACTTTTATAAAGCTACCTATGGAAGAAAAACAATGAAAAATATGGCTAGAAGCCATGAGATGGCAGCCTAAAGATATCTCATTACAAAGTCATGTTTACCTATGTGAAGACCATTTTGATGTAAGTACATATTGAGATTTGTAAAGTTGTGTTGGATTAAAAATTTAATTTA